GTTAGAAGCCAGAAGCGGAAAGAGAATGCGGAAACACGAAGAGAATTCATAAATGGAAGCAGATAAAAGCAGAAACAGTACCTGATCCAGTATGAGAAGCTGGAGAATCACAAATAGCAGAATTGTGTGAAGAACCGACTCAACAGGAGAAATGGAGCAGAAAGAGTACTCAACTAGATATAAAAGCAGAAGGAGAGACAGAAGAGGCAAAGAAGTCGGCACTGCGGGGCCCGCGGCTCGGGCGGCTCCGGCTCCCGCTCATTCCGCTCTTCTCCCCTCCGCCGGCGCCCGCGGGGCCGCATCGCCGCTCCCCCCCCATCCCCCCGCACCAGCTCGGCCCATGCCCAGGGCCGCCGCTTCCTCAGCCGCCGCCCCGCCGCCGGCGTCCGGGGGCCCGCCGCGGCCGTGAGGTGGGGGCGGCCGCCGCGAGCGGCGGGGCTGCCTGCGGGCAGGGTCCGGGCGCCGCGCGCGTCGGGGCGTCGGTCTATGTCGCGGGCGGCGGCGGCGGCCGCGGAGGGACGATGCGCGAGTACAAGGTGGTGGTGCTGGGCTCGGGCGGCGTGGGCAAGTCCGCCCTCACCGTGCAGTTCGTGACCGGCACCTTCATCGAGAAGTACGACCCCACCATCGAGGACTTCTACCGCAAGGAGATCGAGGTGGACTCCTCGCCGTCGGTGCTGGAGATCTTGGACACGGCGGGCACCGAGCAGTTCGCGTCCATGCGGGACCTGTACATCAAGAACGGCCAGGGCTTCATCCTCGTCTACAGCCTGGTCAACCAGCAGAGCTTCCAGGACATCAAGCCCATGCGGGACCAGATCATCCGGGTGAAGCGGTGAGTCCAGCGGGTTGGGCGGTAGGCTGGCGCGGGCGGCGGTCGGATAGCTCAGGCTAGACTGTTACACCTGTCTATGCAAAAATCACATTCTGTTAAACCCTGGGTAATTAAAAAAATTAGAACCAAGTCATAATCAGATAAACCTGGGGTAGACCCCAATTGATGAGATCAAGGGCCACCAA